ACCCGACCCATTGGGTTATCGAGTTGACCCAACCCAACCAGTCGGGTTACCAGGTTGACACGTCAAATCCGGGAATCCGAACCCGACCCGTTTTGAAATCGGGTCGAATTTGAGTCGGATTTTTATGTCGTATCAAATATTGATACCCCATTGTATCATTGGAAAAGAAAGTTATGGAAGTCTAGAAGCGTCTGGGCTTGGGGAAATTATTGAATTCGGACACCGGACGAAGTCCGGAGCCCAATGAAAATGCACCACATCACCTTCTACTCGGTACTGAACAATACCAAGCAGTATTGAGCTCGGTACTGCTCTGTATTGCTCGATATTATTTAGTATCGAACTCCGTACTTCACAGTACCGAGTTCATTGTTACTCGATATTGTGAAATACCAAACATAATATAAGTTGTGGTGTCCGAACACAATAATCTCCCATGAGCTCGGCCCTTCTAATTCTGATATATTTGGACGAAGAAATATATAAAGCTATTTGTGGCCTTATTCCCCAATTAAGTTACAAAGAACACTACTTACTTTCTGAGATTATTAATCTTTCCCAGAATGAGTTGTAGCAAAACATCTTTACTTTCATCCGTATTCATTAGCATAATTCTGAAATTTTTTTTTTTTTGGGAAATTTGGGGCATAGCCCATTTTATTAAACACAAATAAAAAGTTCAACATAAAGGTCCAAACTAATACAGAAAATAAAAAAGAAAAATACAACAATAGCCAATCATTCTATAACAAATATAGAATGAATAAACCCAAACCAATACCTATAGAAAACAAATTATTAAAGCAATGATAGAAAAAAGGACATTAAAGAAGATAACATCAGACTTTTTCATCCAAGCACAGAGAGAATAAATCGGATCCAAGCAAGCTGTAACAAACCCGGAGGTAGAGACTGATTCATAGGAAAAATTTATCAGCTACAATCATATAGCCTCCATGATCCATAATCCACGAACTCCAGCAGTCCAATTTCAGCATTTGCAGCCATCCATATTTTTCCAGCTCATATCAGTTCCTTCCCAGCAGGTGATGTCCGACAAGGTCCAGGATATGCAAAAGAAGATAAAACAGTATTCAGAAATTAAAATTAGACTACAGAGTCTGTAAAACTAAGATGAGAAAAGAAAATTTATTTTGACTGCATTCTTCGAAGGGTCCTACCCACTTTGGTTGCCCGTAGGCCTTCCAAAAAGTGGGTAGCAGGTGATATTCATTATACTCAGCCAAGTAACCATTAAATCGGGCATAAGGATACCACATAGACATTTAATCAGGTCATGATCATCAACACAGATGAGACAGATATCAGAAATTCGTTACCGAAGATCCAAAAGCAATTCAAACCAGCAGTACAGCACAACAGCATCACCCTTCATAAGCCATGGTTAAAAGGAAGTAGCATCAGAATACCAGATTCAATGCTTCTCTAATTTCAATACCATTCATCCATCCCAGTAATTTGATAATAACAGCTTTCGAGATCTTCTTGATCAGAGAATTGGAACATACAGCAATAGACTTAAACTTTCTGTTATTCCTTTCTATCCATATGAAGTAGATAGCAGCATTTAAAATGAGGAGGATGCCACTTTTTAAGCTCTTAGGCTTATCCAAATTATCAATATGTTGAAAGGCTAAAATAATTGTTGGTCTGAAGTAAAAAGTTTGAAATGAGGGAATGAGATTTTGGAGCACTTTAAAAGAGTAATCACATTCAAACTGAATATGTGAAATGGTCTCCATACTATTGTGACAAAGGGAACATGTTTTATCTAAAAATTGAATGTTTCTTGAAGCAAGCACATCACATGTTTTTAAACCTCCTTTAAGAGCCATCCACGAGTAAACAGAAAATCTCAAAGCATGCTTCTTATGCCAGACCATATGATGCCAATCAACTTGATCATCATTAGTAAAATAATATAAATAGAAATCCCTAAATTTGGCATTCACATTGTTTTCCCACCTAATATGATACTTATTATCATGAACAATAGGAATATTCAGAATAAAATCCCTTATGGAAGGGATCTCCAATTCCGGGATGTTCCAAGCATCATGTTGAATCCAAGTAGCTAATTGAGAATTCTTAGCAATGTTAATGGGAAAATCATGAAATTTATCCAGGATAGTTTCCCCAAAACACCAGTGATCCCATAAAATAGAAATAGGGCTGTTGTTAGCAATGGAAAAAGTGAATTTCTCCCTGACTAATTCAGCCGTTTTACAAATATTTTTCCAGAAAGCAGTAGCTGTGTTCGTGACAGGTTTCCAGGGACTGCAATATCTAGCCATACACCACTTAGCAAGAGGGGAGTTAGTGTTATAGCATCTCATAATAATATCGCAATTATAAGCAAAATTTAAAGCTTGTAAAGAAGCAATACCAAGACCACCAAAAGAATACGGTTTGCACGTATTGATCCAAGAAATCAATTGAAGTTTCCTTCCTTCAGTCTCCCCATGATAAAGAAAATTAGAGCATAGATTATTTATATGTTTGAATATAACTTTAGGCATGGTTATGCTCCTAATCCAGAAGGCCACGGTATTAGTGATAGTGTATTTTATGTATTGCAATCTCCCAGCAAATGAAAGCGTCTTCGCCTTCCAACCTGCCAGTAAAGATATAATTTTCTCTATCAAAGGGGCAAAGTCAGAGACCTTAGTCCGACCCAAAGTAATAGGAATACCCAAGTATTTGAACCGGTCAGAAACATTCTGAATTTGAAGCGTATTAGAAATAACGTTCTGGTTAGGGACACTAGGGGAAATAATAAGAGAACTCTTATGCAGGTTCATGTGAAGCCCCGTGAACATAGTGAACAAATTAATGATCCTCATAAGCTTTTCACAATTGCTAGAATCAGCTTTTCCAAAGATAAGAAGATCATCAGCATAAGCAAGGTGAGTTAGCTGAAAATTATTCATATTAAAGCCTTCAAAACCACTGGATTCAGAGTTATACTCGAGGAGGCAAGAAAGTGCATCCATAATAATACAAAAAAGAAAAGGACTTAAAGGACAGCCCTGTCTGAGTCCCGTGGAGGAAGAAAAGAACCCCTCCAATGACCCGTCCAAACAAATAGAGAAGTGAATATCATTAATACAAGCTTTGACCCAATTAATGAAAATATTAGGAAATCCCTTATCAGCCATACGAGCAAAAATAAAGTTCCTTGAAACTGTGTCAAAGGCCTTCTTGATATCATATTTAGCACAAAAAAGATTCATCTTATTCTGCTTTTTGAAAAGATTAATAATTTCCTTAGCCATAATCGGATTATCAGTAGCAATCCTATCAGATATAAAAGCAGCTTGATTTTTTTCAATGATATCAGGCATAATCATATTCATACGACATGCTAATATGTTAGCAATAATTTTGTGAAAAACATTGCAAAGAGATATAGGCCTGAAGTCATGAATATTATCAGCATGTGATTTCGTAGGAACAAGAGCTATAGCAGTAGCTTTGGCACATCTAGGCAAATAGCATTTGATAAAAAAAGATTTGATAGCCTTACAAACAAGAGGACCAGTAATACTCCACGTTTTTTGATAAAAATCAAAATTAAAACCATCAGGACCAGGAGCCGATTTGGAGCAGCCAGCTTTAATAGCCAAATAAATTTCTTCATTGGTAACAGGACTAACTAAAGAAGGAATGGCATTTTCAAGGACCATTTTCCCTCTTGGGATATTCCAAGTATCTTTCAAAACCGGAGGATCAGAATTGTACAGATTTTTGAAATGTTGAATGAAACTAAAATGATTGCCATTATCATTATCAACATGTTGATTCATAGCAGCATTCAAAGAGCAACCATTAAAAGCCTTCCTTTTTTTGATTTTGGAGTAAAGAAACTTCAAGTCTTCTTCTCCATGCTTTAAGCAATTAATCTTTGATCTTTGAATAGTCCAAGAAGCATGCAGTGAATTATAAAAGTTAATATTAGCATTAATTCTTTTAAGATCACCACACAAATCCTTGTTGAGAGGATCCTTATCAATCATCTTTTGGCAATTATCTTGATCAACAGCTAATGAAGCACATTTAGCCGCAATGTGATTGGATGAATTCCAATTCCTAGTTTTAATCTCCCTTTTAAGAAGTTTCAGCTTCTTATAGAGGCTTAAAATAGGATTCCCTTGATCCGGAGATTGAAAAATGTTTAATAGAATGCTCCAAAAATCCGGTATATTGCTCCAATAGTTTTTATACATGAACCTCTTCGGGGTATTCTTAGTAGGGATGTCTCTGAGAATGAGAGGAGTATGATCGGATACAAGGCTGCTCAACACTTTGTAGTGAGAGTTAGGGAACTGATTGATCCAAGTTTCATTCACTAAAACCCGGTCCAACTTAAGATGAATGGGATTATCTTGTCTTTGGTTGAACCATGTATGAAAGTTACCTGTTGAAGGGAGATCAAATAAGTTATTATCAAAAATAAAGGAATTAAAAGGATAAAGCCTATCCATAGTGATAATATTCCCACCTTTTTTCTCAGATTGCATCCTACAGGTATTGAAGTCACCAATCACAGCCCAAGGCAATACACCTTGCGGATTGACATCCCCCAATTCAGCCCAAAGTTTATTTCTTTCTTCAAAAGAATTAGAAGCGTAAACAGCAGATAGAAGCATGATAGTTTGAGACCACACCATTAAGTGGCCCGAAATCATTTGAGGTGAAGAGTAAATAGGATTAAAAGAGACCTTATCTGAATTTCATTTAATCCAAATGCGACCCGGAGTAGCAAGGTCAAAGTTATTGAAGCTGAGTTCATTATCAAAAACCTTGTGTGTAGAGCAGAACCAAGGGTCCAAAAGATTAGAAGAGAGGATACGATTTTCCAAAATACAAATTAAGTCAAGTTTATGCTCATTGACTAAATTCCTACAACAAAAAACTTTGTCCGGGTTATTAAAACCCCTAATATTCCAGGCAGCCAAAGAGGGGCAATTCATAAGAAACTAGGATTTTTGGTTAGGGCCTTTACGGTTGCCCTTTCCCCTAGTGTTTCTGTATGAAGAAGGTTCAGAAGAGTTCATCATTTTGGTATTATAATTACCAAAAGTTTCTTTCTTGTTCTTAGCAGAGTACCCTTTAGAATCTTCCATGCCCTCATTTTGCATTGATGAAGAGGAATCCTCTTCATTATCATCTTGAAGCACACTAAATTTATTAGCAGAAGTAACTCTATACTCCTTTTGAGCATCCAATTGAAACATGGGTACATAGGTAGAAGAAGTCAAAGAGGTAGGAGAATTAAGATTAGGGATGTTAGAGCTTGCCCCTGCTAAAATATTAGTCGGGACAGAATTGACAGCCAGCAGACCTTGCTCAAAAGTTTTGTTACTCTTGTTTATCTCAGAGTTAAGAGCAGCCTCCTCTTTATTTGGAGTATCCACCACAATATTTTGGGTAGCAGGAATATTGGGTAAAACATTTTTATTAGGTATCTCAGAATGAATAGAAGCCGAAGTAGGGATCAAGTCCTGAGCTTTTTCCACTGGAATTTCTTCCAGGTTTTTATCGGGGTCACCAGCAGTAACATAAATCTTATTAGAGGGATTAGGAGTAGGAAGAAGACCTTTCGAGTTTAAGGAGTGAGGTCTAGGCTTGCGGCTAGTACTTCTCCCTCTAGGAGGGTTAGGAATTTGGTTGATTTCAGGGTTGGGATTATCAGAACATTTTGCAGAAGAGTGATTGAGCGAGCCGCAAAATTCACAAAAGGTAGGACGCCATTCATACTGAATTTTTAAGTTAAAAAGTTTTCCTTCAACACAAATAGGTATAGTTTCAGGAAAAATAGCTTTGTCATCAACTTGAACACAAACCCTAGCAAAGGTAAGCCTGGATTTTGAAGCAGTAAGAGCGTCAACCGCAAGCGGATGACCAACTTTAGTGGCTATTTTAGATATTTCAACAGGAGTCCAACAACATAAAGGTAAATCATGAATCTTAAACCAGATCGGGACCGAAGTAAGTTCTTCACGTGTTGGGGAAAAGTGAGAGTTCCATTTTTGAAAGACAAAAGGTTTTCCAAAAATAAACCAGGCACCTCTACTCCAAACAAGATCGTAATCTTCCGCGTTGGAAAATTTGAACAGAAAAAACCCATCGCTAAGAGAAATAAGTTTCAGACTACCTTTAAGATTCCATAGCTTTTTAACCGAGTTCAGCAACGCCTCATAGTAAGGTCTCTTACCAAGAGAATAGCCAACTAGTGCCAGATCCCACTCATTAACAGCATCAACAATGTCTTCAGAGGGGAAATTGATGATTTCCTCTTCCGTTGGCAAGGGAGATATCAGAAACTCACATGCATTAGAAGTTGGTCCGGAAAGTATGCGATCCCACGAGCGAGATGATTTTTTACCCCCAGTAGTGGAAGGAAGGAGAGGACTCTTTAGAGGAGGAAAAGCTTCCTCGAAGCCGGAGGGATCCATCGGAACGGATCCCTCCGATCACAACGCCAAGGAAGCACCAAGCGAGTCGCCAAAAAACCCTAACCCTAGCAGAGCTCTCGAGACGGCTTAATCCTATTCTGAAAATTGATTGCGCCTCCTATACTTATAATTTTAAGATTAAAATTTGATTTAAGACAAATTTCTTAGAACTATAAATTTTATACTAAATATTATTTTATAAAGCTATAAAAAGCTGTCGCAAACGAAACCTAGAAATGATAAGTTATTGCCAAAAAGGCCAATTTTTTTTTTTTCTAAATGTGGCTAGGATTGGAGCTGCTTAATCATCTGTTCATTTTACGTTTTTTTTAAATGAAAATCACTCCCAAGCACCTCTTGCTACAATCGACCACCAGTAATCACCACCGTCAGCTATAATTACCGTCCATCATTACTGACTTATGCATTATGCAATAAAAATAAAAATTATGCATATTTATTTTATATTAAATAAGAGAATCAAAACCGCTTTGCATTTGAGTATCAATTATTGATATCTGTTCTATTTCATTAGATTTAATTTTATAACTTTCTATATTTATTATATTTTAGTAAATTTGATTGTGAAAATACTTTTTTCTTCAATTTTTTTTAAAAAGTTACATAAAAATAAAAAAATAGGGTCATATATATATATATATATAACTTCAAGTTTAATAGGTCACCCAAGAAGTCACTTGACTAACTATGAATCTTTATGCATATTTCTTTTGAAAACTTTCAAAAAATAAATTCTTGATATTAGAATTGTGATTTCACCAAACTTACTTAAATGAACGTCTCGATGAGACATATCTATCGATAACAAAAGTGATACAATCCGGCCCAAAATGAGATCAAATCAATCACTTGAACCATAACTAAAAACTTTGGGATATTTATCGGTTGAGCAAACGACCTTTTGATCTCACAAGCTTATAGTCCAATAAGGTATCTCGACAAGATGAATTTAATAAACCTAAAATTGCTTAATTCTAATAACATTCATGCATTTAAATGCTGAAAGAATGGTACATATTCAAGGCAATATGAGCCTTCACGTAGAGTATGAAGAATTCTAGAGCTTAATTTATAAATAGACATCCACTCTCGACATGATAGAGGACCATGGTTGAAGATTTAATAGAGCTAAGGGGTATGAAGAATTCTAGAGCTTTATCATACCACTGATGTTTAACTGCACCAACCACCGTAGCATAACCACTATAGCCTAACTACATTTCCCCAACCCCTATAATTGACTATTATCTCCCAGCCACTATTACCCTACTATGATCTCCCAACAATTGTCACTCAATTACGATTCTCTGGTCATTATTGTCGAATTACGATCCCCCAATTATTTTCACTCGACTTTGATCCTTTAACTATTTTTAACATATATCACTGAATTATAATCCCATCGACCATCGTTGCATGTTTATTGTCTTGCAACCACCATTGCTAGACTATGATCTCTCAACTAATGTCACCTAATTTTGATACTCTAACTATTATCGTCAGACTATAACAACCACAATAAGGCCACTGTGGTTGGACGGTGTTACTCCAATTGCATTGGTCGAACAACGATGGGTGGATAATGGTGGACAGGTAGTGTGGTACAACTATAATATAATTACATCAACAATCAGATGGTTGTGATTAGATGTTGGTGATCCGATCGGATAATGGTTGTTCTCAAAGACAATTTGATGGTGAAGCTCTCTCTAATATGAAATCAACATTCAAGCTGCCCTCCCAATCATGTAGAGAAGAAGAATTTGCTCATATATTATTATATGTAAATATACTCAAAATCTAAAACTTTATTAGATGGCCCATATTTATCCTCTTAATTATAAATCATTTTTGAAGTATTTAAGTCTCTTAATGATATCATAATTAAGTGATATTAGTATTGTTAAATTTATCTTATTGAGATGTTTGATTTGACTATAAAGATACAGTATTCAGAGATCATTTGATCATTCAATGAATATCCCAAAAAAATTTAATTATGTTTTGAGTGCTCGATTTGGGCTCATTAAAGCCGGATCAAATCACCTTAATTTAGTATTGATTGGTTTTTCTTGTCATATATTGGCTATAAATTTGTTGAAATAAGAATTCAGATGGCTCTAAAATGAATTTCATAAGTTTTCATATTAAATATTACCTCGAGATTTGTGTTGGATCAAATGAAATTTTCTATAATGTATTAAGTACATTTCTCAATTACATGAAAGTGTATCATCTTTAATCAACGATAAACATTAATTAAATCATTTTTAACTAAGTCAATCTTTGTGTTTATTTTTTTTTTTCGTTTCTAATTTTTTAAATATAAAATTTGATGACGCATATGATAACTCTTCTTTGCTAGTGTGAATTTTCTATCACGCAACAAGCTACAAAATGATTAGCCTCAAATAGACCTAATTTAAACCAAACATACATATTAAACATATAACAAATCTTAACCAAAATCCCACTCAACAGAAACCTAAACTTGAACCAATCCAAAATTACTCCATTTATCCCTTACAATCCAAACAATTATAAAAAATTAAACCCTAAACAAATTTAAAACAAAACAATTCATTCATCAAGTTTATAAATTTTCATATATACCCAAACAATACCTAAATTTGTTCATCAGCTATAACCAACACAAAGTAGATTCAAATTCTTTACAAATTGATTCAAATAAATTTTTTTTGCATAGAATTGGAATCAAAATTGTTGATCTAACATTGACAATCGTAATTATTCTCTTCAAATTGTTTGTAAATTATCACCCAACTCCACCACCCCACACTGTTCTACTATTATTTTTATCATTTATAAATATTTTTTTTTTATATTTTTGTCCTTCCACCTCCTTCAGCTATCGTCAGTCTTACGTCTTCAAAAAAAAAATTTTTTAGGCAGAAAGCCTATTCATCAAATTTGGAAAGTCCACACTTCAAAAATCAAAGCTCAACAACCCATTTGGCTAATGGCTATCAACAGTCCAACAACCCCGGATGTCACGTGCATGCTAACTGCAATTTTACATGTACGACCTTCACAATTAATTATTTTGTACTCATCTTGCGAACGTCAACAATCTTTCTGGTTGTTATTTAGCCATAAGTTTGGTCAAATTTAGTGGACTTTGTGTAAAAGTAGGTGATGAATTATAGGGAAAGGGAGTGTTATGTGCCTTTTTGTATATTTTCTTACCAAAATGTTGTCATTAGAAGGTTCTCTTATATTTCTTAATGAGAAAGTTATTCTACCAAATTAAAAAATAATAATTTTTTTTTATAGGTTAACAATATATAGGGGAGCGAAAAATAAAAAATCTTAATATGGTGATATCACCCTTTTTTTTTTTGAATTATTAGCACGTTAAGACTTCCTTACTCATACGTTGAATACTATATTGTTATATTTATGTATGTCCAAATAGAAATAGCTAGATCATGAGGAGTACACGATCAAGGTAACGCTCATCCAAACAAAGTTTCGTCTTACAAAGTAGCCTCTGGCACTAGCCTATGTGCAAGTGGCCGCTTCCCTTGTGGAGGTCACAACTTATATATAAACTCTCCTTGGAAGATCAAATCAAGGGTTAATCGTCCACGATGTGCTTCTCCAAAAGACTTGATTAGAAAAGTCTTCGCCCATTATAAGCTCGCCCCAATAAAACTCACTCTCATGCAGTAATTGTCTGCCATCAAAGCCATCCATATATCATAGGCGTCCCTAATCAAGCTATAGGAAATATACACCTATAAGTCCAGAGCCACGACTTCATTAACTAAACTCATCATCAACTCACAACACTTCCACCCAAGTAACTCAACTCTCATTATAAGGATGCCTTCACAAACTCACCCTACATGCCAAAATTTAAAGATTAGCCCAAGGCATTTATAACATCCCAGAATCTAATTTGAAAAAATTATTATTTTATCTATTAATAAACAATAACTAGAACTACCTAATTTTTTATCAAAATAAATATGAGCAGAAATAAAATTATCGATCAAAATATCAATATACGAAAATCAGAACTATCTAATATCATCCATCAGTAAAAATAGCATAAACAAATTCTATAATTCAAAATAGCAATGTACATCAGTATTCATTTCCTAAAAAAATCATATACATTACTTATGATCTATATAATCGTACCACAACTAATATGTAATGAGTACAAAAGAATAACTAAAATAATAAAAATCTTAACCGGAAGGATCCTGGTCAAAATCTCACTCCTACTTCCATGTCTTGAGCTGAAATCATTTAATGACAAACAATGAGCTCAAGATCCTAACAAGTAACAAAATCTAAAACTGAGCTCAAACCATGATAAATGAGTAATATGCACGTTAGTAGTCAAATCATAGCAGTAGCACACACTTGATCATAGGGTAATATAATAGAGAAATCTGTAAACTAGGACATGTGTCAATTCACGAAAATAACCATCATATAAATGCTACAATGAGTAGAGAAATCATATAAACATCAAATCAAAATAAGGGTAAAAACTGTCAAAATCATGTCAATCAGTGTCAACTCAGTGTTAGTATCCAGTGTAATTGCTCAATACATATCACGTGACCAATTTATCAATAATAATATAACGGTAGAATAATAGTAACATCAGCATTATGGGTGAAAGTAATAATAAAGTTGTATACTAGTAGTGACTCAGTAACATATATTTTAATAATCATATTAAACAAGTAAAAGTCATAACTACAACAGTGGTTTTCAAGTACCAATATCAATATTAGTAATCGTTGTCTCAATAAATATAATTGTCACTATTTACTCGTTGGCATAGTAATCATCTTCTTATAACTCTCAATCAGTGTATCACGTGAATGATCAGTTGAGGTTAACACCACACAAAAACATTTAAAGGAAAGCTTGTCGTCTCATGATCATGTACATGTCAATCAGTCTCTAACTAATGCTAGTGAAACTAGTTTGTGCTT